ATTTATTTTATATTTTATAATAAACTATTTATTATAATCCATATTAATATAAAATATAAATAATTTTTTATTTTATTAAATTTATATAATTATTATTAAAATTTTAAACTTTATTACCTTTTTATATTTTTTATATAATATTTTAAATTACCATACGCCACGTACAACTGACAAAAACCCCAATTATGTTATATTTCAATTTTCAACTTCAAACCTCGCATTAATCATGGCTGCAGTTGTTTCCTTCTATTTTTTCCCCTACTTTTTTACTAGTGCTTTTCTCACATGATAAATAAAACAAAAATATTACAACTATATTGTATTATATTTTATACTAAGTGAAGCAACCCTTTCTATTGGCCCAAAGAAAATAAATTTGAGTCATTGGACAACCAATTTTTTTTTAGTGATTGTAATGCATCAGATAAAGTAGATTGCTTGCTTGTAGGTACAATATGCCTTGTCCCCTTACAAATTTTAATTGAGTGGGAGCATTAAATGCCAACTTTTTAAGAATTTATTTCTAAGTAAGTTCTTTCTCTATTTTAGGTAACATATAATTATCACATACTATTTTCTTTAAGAGGTTGTCTAGTATGAGATAATCGATATAAACATTATAGTGATTTGTATTTGATAATTATATTATTTTGTTTTATAGAAATTTAAAAACTTTATGTGACAGAGATTTTAAATTATTGTGTAATAAGATAATTATCTTGAGAGTGATTTTATTCTAATTTTAAGGGTAAAAAAATTTATCATCATAAAAATAAATTTTAATATTATTTTTTAATTTATTTTGACAACAAATTTAGTAACATTATCTCAAGAAGCAGTCCAATAAAAATATTCAAAATTCAAAATTTCTAATCACTCATTTAAAAAAAGTTTTTTATTACAATTGAATAAATGTTTGTTGACTAAAAAATATAATGAATTTACTTAATATCTTCTTAAAAATTATTTTAATTAAAATTGATTTATAATTTGTAATTTTTATAAAATAATATTTAATTATTTTATAAATTGTTGATTCAATTAATATTTAATTTTTTCTTTTTTTATAAGGTTATTTTGATTATTTTATACTAAATAATTTATTTTTATATAATACTAAATATAATGATTTAAGATTGATTGTGATTTTTAATATTATACCAGACATGATAATTTAAAATTACTTATGATCAAATCACTTTAATGATCTTATCACTATGATAATTAAATCATATGATAATTTTGAAAACAATATTAAATGCTATCAAACTGCATAATTGTTTTTCATATGTAATGAAAAAGCATTAAAACTTGATTATAGAGCATTTATTCCATCCTATTATATAATACATTTATTCAAATTAAATGTCACAAATTGGAAAAAGAAAAATAATCTCAAATGATATATATTAAAGGGGCGTTTGGTTTAGGATAATCATGTATTTTTCTCTAGAATCTTACTGGTTAGTATTTCCTTCTAACATTTGGTTCAAGATAATTTGATTTTTGGTGAAAATGATAGATTTCCAACAATACCCAAAATCTTGAATAAAAAACCCATTTTTCCATGTTATATTCTATGATTTTGGGGAAAAATGTTATGTTATTTTTAAAATTGATATAAATAAAAATTATGAAATATCAGCTATCTTTTTTAAAATGATGTCTGAAAGTGACTATAAATCAGTTATAAGTTTTTACTGTTAAAAATATTTTTTTATGTTGCAATTAATGACGTTTGGTATGAAAAATACCTTAAATGATCATGTTTAATTTTTTATTATTTAAGGTATTTTTTGATAAAACATATCTTAAATAATCTTTTAAAAAACTTGACCAACGTTATTTAAGGCGTTTTTTGTTATAAATACTTTAAATAATCATGTTCTTTTTTTTTTGGATTATTTAAGGTGTTTTTTACTATAAAATACCTTAAATAATCATATTCAATTTTGTAGAAGATTATTTAAGGTGTTTTCTGGCAAAAAATATTTTAAATAATCTCTTAAAAAATTGATCAGTATTATTTATATATGTTTTATGACAAAAAATACTTTAAATAATCATAAAAAAAATCTTATAAGTAATATCCACAAATAAGTGTTAGAGGAAATTATCAAATTTATAACCTTATGATTAATAGTCATATGCTCTAATTAATTGAGCTACTTTATTATTTTTTTATATTTTATCTATTAAATCTTATAAGTAATAATAAATATTATTTAAGGTATTTTTAGTCAAAAATATTTTAAATAATACATTTTAATTTTTTTTAAAATGCCTGAAATAAGACCCTTTAAAAATATTAAAGGACTAGAGGGAGGAATTGAATCTACGATTTTAAAGTTAATAGTCATATGCTATAACTGGTTGAGTTACTTTTATTTTTTTATATTTTATCTCATAAATCTTTTAAGTAATGAAATTGATTATTTAAAGCGTTTTTAGAAAATAATGCCTTAAATAATCAATTTTAAAAAAATATTGAAGATTATTTAAGATGTTTTTAGATAAAAAAAATGCTTTAAATAATTCTCTCATATTTTTAAAATGGCATTTATTTAAGGTGCTTATGGATAAAAAAATACCTTAAATAATCATTTAAAAAAATAAAAGGAATTATTTAAAGTATTTTCTAACAAAAAATACCTTAAACAATCCAAATATTTTTTTATTGATGATATTTTATAAATAAAATAACAATCAAATAAAATATTTGTCTTCTTTTGCTGTTAAAGGTATTATTTATCATTTGAGTATTTATTATTAATAAAAACTAATAAAAAGTTACAATTATATATGTTAAAGAGATTATAATAATTATTTATAAATTAATATATGTGGATTCTCCAAAATCTAACTAGTGAATTTGAATACAAGATGTTCTGAAAATAAAATAAAACTCAAGTATCGCACTTTTTTTTTTAATTACACTTTATTTCGAAATTTAAGATTCCGTGAATTAAATACTCCTTATAATTTTTAAACTTCGTAAAATGATTTAAATAATTCACTTATTTATTAGACTATAACTAAAGAAATTAGTAAACTAATACAATTATTAAGCAAACTCATGACAATTGATGGTAGTATATTAAAAAAAAAATCTTTCAAATAAATCTAAATGATCACGTAATTGTTTTTTAAGATATATAAAGCATAAACTAATGACCAATACATTGTTTTTGTCGTCAACATACTAATAATACCACTAGTTCAGTTTTTCAAACTCAATTCAAGTGTGTAAAAGACGATTGTTAATTTGTCTAACAATTATATATCGTAAAATTCTAAAATTTTTAATTTAATGAAAAATATTTTACTTTGATTAATTTCAAATTGAGAAAATTTTACTATTTATGTTCGTTTGATTATCAATTTTATTATTAATGTTTTGTTTTTAAAAGAAAATGAATTGTTTTGATAATTAGTTAAGAAGTTAGTTAAATAAAATGTATGATTTTATTTTTTATAATTATCAAATTCAAAATTTTTATTATATAATTGATAATTGTCATTCTTGATATACAATACCAAACTCCTGCAGACCATAACAAATGTCTTTCTTTCGAATCTCAATATTTATTTGCAAAGAAACAAAATAGAAAAAGAAAAGGAATTCTAGCTGTTTATCTAAACAAGGAATTGCAGCTTTTGTTAGTTCTACAGTGCATAATTCAAACCACATTGCCACGTTTCTTTCCCCCCAAAATTTTATTTTACTTTTTTTCAACCCGAATTTGTTATTATTTTATTGTGCAAGTTAAAATAACCATATAAATCGCCAAATTAAAAAACTCAAGCAAAAAAAAAAAAAAAAATCAAAAGAAAAACCCACACCCGAAAATATTGAGAGAGAAAGAGAAAGGTTACATTACAATTAGGGTTTGAAGCTTGACCCGCCAAATCTTCTCCGCCAAAAAACCCTAATTTTCTTGGTTCACTCCTCCGGCATTGCCTTCTTATGAATCGGATCCCGATCCGGATCCTCCAAATTATTGTTTCGGACTCGAACGGGTTCTCTCCCCGACAATGGCGGCGAAATCTTCGCCTTCTGATTCGGTGGATAGATCGGAACCTCCCAATGACTCCTCGGTAACTTTCGCCTTTCCAATTTCGCTTTCTCTCTCTGACATGCATGAAACGAATCTTTTATTCGTTCTGCTTCTCGTTGAACTGTTTTTTGTTTGACTTATTTTTTTTTTCATTTTTTTTCTGAATTGTGCACTTATTTGAGGGTAGTAATAGCTGCATTTTGTTAAATTTAGCTGATTGTAATTAAATCTAATTTGATTATGTAATTTTGATAAAATATTTTGAATTTTATGGATTATTACGTCATTAATATGTTATCTACAGTTTGTAAGTTTACAAAGTAGAAATGTGACTAAAATGGATTAGTTTTAGGATTTTCTTTTGAGGCCAATTTGTTGTTTCTTTTCCTTTTGCTCTGTTAATTTTAAATGTTTGTTGAAAATTTTATTAATATATATTATGTCTTGAATTATGTATAATTTTATCATCCTAGATTGGTAAGCTTGATTGGATTTTTCATTTTTACACAGATGACACAAACTGAAGAAAACACTGTGACTGTTAAGGAGGTTTTATTGATAATTGATTCATTAAAGAAGCAAGTTACAGCTGACCGATCTGTTTATGTGAAGGTGAATTCCTAGGTTTTCTGATCATTTATTGGCTTAAATAATGGTTACATGTGCTAATCAGTTTCAGTTCATTTTGTTTCCAGAAAAGATTGGAAGAAAACAGGCAAAATTTGGGTGGTATAACGAGCCATCTTTATAAATTGTCAAATGAAAGAAGAAGCAGTTGGATTAGTGATACTGACAGTGCTTCGGATCTATTGACAAAGAGGCAAAAAGATGCACTTAGTATGCAAAATGGTTTTGACATAAGTGATGGGGATAAGGATAGTTATAGCTATCAAGAACCTTCTACAGCAGTTCTTATGGGATCTAGTATTCCAGTCAAGAATGCTGTTCGTCCTGTTAAGCTTACAGAAGTGAAAAAGCTACCGCCTTATACTACATGGATATTTCTGGACAGGTTTGTTAGGTTAACTAGACATTTTGTCCAATTTTGTTATATTTTGTATTCTACTCTGTTTCTTTATTAATATATAGAGTGCTATTCAGAAAGAAATGTTTCACTCTTATGTTTCTAAACATCTCTTTTGTTTATCCAATTTTAGAAAATTGGTATAAAAAATTGAAGGATTTGCTGTTGTAAAAAGAAAAAATGCTTTTGTTCAATAGCTGATTTTTGGCATTTTCTATGAATTTCTATAAAAAAGATAAACTAAACAAACCTTTTTGTTCGTTTAACTTAAACTTTATTCTCTAGACTTGCAATATTTTTCTTATCTTTAGAACAATTTTAATCTTTCTTGCTTGAGTTATCAGTTAATTTTCATTTCTTTGGCTACAGAAATCAAAGAATGACAGAGGATCAATCAGTGGTAGGTCGAAGGAGAATCTACTATGATCAAAATGGTGGTGAAGCACTTATCTGCAGTGACAGTGAGGAGGAAGCAATTGAGGAAGATGAAGAAAAGAGAGATTTTGCGGAATCTGAAGACTTTATTCTTCGGTTGGTATAAACATATTATGTATTGTGATCATAGTCATGTTTTTGTCCTTTTTGTTTCCTTGTTTCTATCTTGAAGTATATTTTGTTGCCTTTATTTCCTGTTCTAGTGGAGAAACCTGGAAATTGTCTGGAATCACGTATGGTTTCTTTATTTATTGCTATTTTCTGCAGCAATTAGGATTTGTCAATCTGTAAAAGTTGTATTTTAAATATTTAATGACAAAATGTACATAATCAACTTAGTTTTGAATTAATAATTGTAAAAGGGTTGATAGTTATGGGATGCATTACAAGTATTGTAAAAAAAGCTGGGTAAGACATCAATTATTTTGAAAGGAAAATTAGGGGTGACAAAGACTTTTCTACTCTCTAGTTTGCTTGCATTTGTGAATTTTCTGTTTTAGGGGTTTCTTGGCACCTTTTGGATGTTTGCCTTGTTAATTAACTCAGTTAACTTTTTTTGATGGAAAATAAGCTTTTTTTTAATGGAAAAATATGCTTTGTTAATTATGCTACTTTTTACCAAATTCTAAATCCTTACATAGTTACGAAAATTATTCTTATTTCCTTCATGAACCTGTGAACTCTCTTTATAGGATGTTTTATAACATGTATGAAGTTTAATTGATATTGCCTTTCTGATTTGTGTATCTTCCTGTTCTATAATTGTCAAATTGACTTAATGTAGCTATAAGGCTATAACATATCTTACTAGGATTCTTAAAATTGTTGTCTGAAACTCAATCTATTTATAGCTAATAATTCATGCATCGTCCTGTTATAAAATTGCCAGAATGACCATCAAGGAAGTTGGTTTGTCGGATCCAGTACTGGAATCACTAGCACAATGTTTGTATAGAAGTCCTTCTGAAGTCAAGGTATGCACCCTTGATGGAAATTGCAGTGTTGGCCTTTGATTTTTTTCATACTGGTCTTTTTTCTTTCACTTTTAGCAATTAAAATTCTTCTTTCCATGAGATTGTTTTATCTCCTGTGCATTTTCTGATAAAACTGGTCATAGTGTAAACTTTGGTCCAGCTGCTCCCATTTTCTTTTTGCTGGCTTTACAGAGATATGAAACACCATCAAACATCTTATACAGGCAAGATATGAAACTCTTATGAAGGAAGGGAAGGATGCTGGGGCCTCTAAGAATGGGGATATTGAAGCACAAAATTGGAATTCCTTTCTTGAAAAAGATCTTGAAGCAGCTCTTGATTCTTTTGACAATTTATTTTGTAGACGATGCCTTGTAAGCACTTTTCTTGCTCATTATCATGTTCTGTTTTGCTTTTTGTTGTATTCTTTAATTGTATCTTTTTTTCCCCTGTATTTGGCAGGTCTTTGATTGCAGATTACATGGATGCTCTCAGGACCTTATCTTTCCTGTGAGTTGTTCATGCAATTCTAATTGTTTATAATGTCTTACTATGTTGCTGGGCTCCTAGATTTTTATTTTCTGAATACGTTATATTGTCAGGCTGATAAACAAACTCCATGGAACCATCCAGATGAAGAGAATGAACCATGTGGTCCGCACTGCTATCGTTTGGTATATGTTTGGCTGATCTCTTTTCTCTTTAATAGTTGATATCTTTATATTTATACAGGATTAAATTGTTTAATGCTAGGTGCTTAACTCAGAACGAAATGGCACAGTCAGCACTCCAATGAATCCCAAAGAAAAGTCAAACTCTTCATCTGATGGTGTTGGGGCACAAACGTCATCCCGTAAGAAATCTTCTGGTCCATATGCTAGGAGGAAGGTAAAGTCCTGCCAAAGTGAAAGTGCTTTGTCCAATGCTAAAAATCTTTCAGAAAGTAGTGACTCAGAGATTGGACCCAGGCATGAAAACTCCTTGTCGCCTATTCCCCAGTTATCACCTTCTAAGAATAAAATTGCTGGAAAATCTGGAATTCTCAAGAGGAATAGCAAGCGAGTCGCTGAACGTGTTTTAATTTGCATGCGCAAGAGGCAGAAGAAGATGGCAGCTTCGTATTCTGATTCTGTTGTGAGTGGAGGTGTTTCGCCAACAGATATGAAACTGAGGTCTAATGCATGGAAAGAAAACGAAGATTCTACATCTTCTTCGCAGAAGAATGTGAAATCTCCAAACACAGGAAGGTCTAGGAGGAAAGAGTGGCCATTACAGGAAGGAGAGAAAGGAGAAGTTCCTGAAGTTCCTTCTAGTGAGACTATTAATGAATTGGCTCGGTCTAGTAGCAATTATGGCCTGAGAAAAGAAGAGTTTGTGGATGAAAACTTATGTAAACAAGAACTAAGTGATGATAAATCTTGGAAAGCTATTGAAAAAGGTCTTTTTGAGAAAGGTGTGGAGATTTTTGGCACGAACAGGTTAGTTTCTGGAGTTTACATTGTGTTTTAATGAATTGCTTTTGATATTCACTAGACAGAATCCACATTGCATTTAAGTCAATTAATTCTACGAAAGCTGTTGCCTGCTTATTGTTAATTTTACACTAAAGAATCTACTATCATCAAATTCAATGGTAGGTATTTCCAACTTAACTCATTTTCTAGAGGTCTTGTTATAAGTGTTTGTTAAAAGTAGCAGTTATGACGCTAATTTTCTTACCTCCTTTTTCTCAAAATTCAGACAACCATCAGGAGTAGTGGTCTAAGAGTTACTTTATGTAGTTTGTGAATCATTATGCAAGTAACACTAATTTTTTTGCATTTCCTTTGCACTAGTACGTTTTGGGATTCCTTCCGGTAAATTGATTCTCTATCTACTTACAGTTTACTCTTTGTCATGTCAGCTGTTTGATTGCCAGAAATCTTTTAAATGGATTGAAGACATGTTGGGAAGTTTTCCAATACATGACCTGCTCTGACAATAAACTGGCTTGCCATGCAGCTGATGGTGTTATATCTCTTCTTGAAGGGTATTCCAAGTTTGACCTTAATGGAACCATGGTTAGTAATTATATTTGACTTAGCTTTGCAGGTTTGGGCATGAGTATCTTTTTGCTAAACTATATAATTCTACCATTCTTTTTCCTCTGTTTTCACATTCTCTTGTTTTTCTTTTTTTAATAACTCTAGGGAAATAACGAAGTACGACGCAGATCAAGATTCTTGCGTAGAAGGGGTAGGGTCCGTCGTTTGAAATATACCTGGAAATCAGCTGCATATCACTCAATCAGGAAAAGGATTACTGAGAGGAAAGATCAACCATGCCGGCAGTATAATCCATGTAGTTGTCAAACAGCTTGCGGAAAGCAATGTGCTTGCCTTTTAAATGGGACTTGCTGTGAAAAATACTGCGGGTGAGCTGTTATTTTTCAAGCTGAATTGTGTTAGAATACTTCATCAATTCATTTTACTCCTTATTAACTTTGGCTGCTTTGGATTTCTTATATCTTGATATAGATTTATGGTTAACACATGCGTTGATGATATCTTGATGTTGATCCATTTATTCTCTTTCCTGCTCTTTGCTCATTTATATAGATGTCCTAAGAGTTGCAAGAATCGATTTAGAGGTTGTCATTGTGCTAAAAGTCAATGTCGAAGCCGTCAGTGTCCATGCTTTGCTGCAGACAGGGAATGTGATCCAGATGTTTGTAGAAATTGTTGGGTCAGGTGAGCTCTTGACTTTGATTTTCTATTTTCTTGTTGTGTTACCTAGTGGCATTCAAAGGGATAAAAAAAGATGCATCTATGCACCTTAAAAAAAAATCTATATTAGCATTGAAAAGAGGTACTAATTTTCATAGGCACTATTGCAGTTAGTTTTATATGTTATGGCTTTTCTACCCTTCTCTCGGGAAAGAATTATGTTAACTTTGCCCATGATATAGCTTCACCTGCTTATGCATCATTTAGTTGTGCTAGTTCTGATTCATTTACTATTAGTTCATCATTACTAGTTCCTTAAATATTTCTATAACTAGAATGTACATGTGCTTTGCTGTGAGAACTTTTTTATTTTATTTGATTTTAACATATATAAATTGAGTTACAAAAACTACTGTAGATTTTTAGTTTAGATATTAATATGTACATTTTGATATAGAGTATCAAATATATAATTAACTCTATTTAATAGTTAAAATTGAGTTGTCCACAATTACAAACTTAATTTAACATATCATTTCTCTTTTTCTTTTAAAAATTGAAACATGCTTGCATTCGAGTGTTTGTTGGATTGTATTGACAAACTAACTCACGAATCAAAATATATGAATTCATAAGGTCAAGATTTTCAATAGAAAAATGATAATTTTTTTAAACATAATGTTTAAAACTTGCTTTTTTAGATTGTAAATAGAAATCAAGAAAAGATTTGATACAAATAGTAAATTTTTGTTTCTTTTTATTATTTTAAAAAATAAATTGATAATATTTTTTATATTTTACGTTTTTTGCATAAACCATATTAAATTATAACTTTTATATAGAAGCATTTAAGAAAAAAAATTAAATAAAGATAGAAAGAACCAAAATAAAAGAGAAAAAATATAATGGTGAAAAAGTTTCATACATTTTTATTATTTTATTATTTTCTTCTTTTTTTTTTTTTCTCTCAATTTTTCCTTTACAAAAAAAAAAAAATCTGAAACTTTTTACTCAAGTTAAAGTAAAGAAAATAAAGATTTAAGAAAACAAAGGAAACTAACACAAAAAGGATTCAAAACCCTTTTTAAAAAGCTAAATCCATGAAAAGTTAAAAACATTTGTCATTTTTTTATTTTAAAGTCTTCAAATTTGTTCATAAAACTTTTCTATTTGATTTTTAAAATTTTTTAAATTATATAATTTTTTGTTGAAAAAAAATCTAAAAGACAAAAGACATAAAGAAGTGAAAATGAAACATGAGAAAACAAATAAGAATAATAAAATGAATTCATGTTTTTCATTAACTTTTTCCTTTTAATAAGTATTTTATTTTTTCCTTATTTCTCTTTTTTTATTTCTAAAAGAATTCAAAATGTTTTTTCCCTTTTTTTTTTAAACAAATTCATTGTGAAATACCTATGACTAAAGACATAAGAAGCCTAAAACTCCTTTAACATTTTGGAAATCTGTCCATATCCCACTTAATATGAAGATGAAAAGTTAAAATCAACCCAAAATAAAGACAAGAAAAACCCAAAATGCCCCAAACATTTGAAAAATCCTCTCTAATTATATTTGTGGCTTAAAATCAATATACTTTAGATTAACTTTTGTTAACATAATAAATTTTTTTGTAAATGCACCTATTATTACAATGAGTTAATTATTGACATCTTGAATCAAAATGTAGTTTCAGCTAGTAGTGGATCTTAAAATTTTGGGAATATCTGCATTAAATCAATAGTTGTAATGGTCAATGAGCTCTTCTTTTTTATTTGTTATTTTTTATTTTAAATTTGAAGTTATAATTTGTATATTGTTGTTTTTTTTTTTTATTTTTTCCAACTTTTTATATTGCTTCTAGCATGTGATTCTTTGAAATTGGCTTTGCAGTTGTGGTGATGGCACTGGTACACTTGGAGCCCCTCCACAAAGGGGTGACAATTATGAATGCAGAAATATGAAGCTTCTTCTCAAACAACAGCAAAGGGTGATGTGTTTTCTCTTCCATCTTATTTAGTTGCTTCATTCCAGTTAGATAAGTGCATATGTGTGGCTGTGTGAATATGCTTCAATATATATTTTTATTAAATACTTAAAGAAACATTGAATCAATTAGTGCCCCCTTGCTTTGAAATAAGTGTCCTATCTTATAAGTATTTAATTGCTTAATTTTTGTTTGCTCTAGATACCTAAATGAAATGTTTGACTATTAATCTTTTATTCAACAACTCTTTTAAAGTATTGTTTGTGGAAAAACTAAAAAATAAAAATATGTGAAAAACTCAAAGTAAAACTGAATGTATATTGAAAAATTGTTCTTTAGAATTATACAAGCACCTTAGGTTTATATACTACTAACTAGTGGGTAAACTAGAAAACTAAATATTCTTAAACTAATCCTATAATTGAGGGATTGTCTATCCTAACTTTCTTTCCTTAATTCTAGGGATGCAAATACTTAATTCTAGTGATTCTAGGGATACAAATATAAATATACAAATTATATGATTACTACCAGCTGTAAATAAGTATTTTCTCACACTCTCTCTCAAGCTAGTGAATAGGTGTTTTCCATTTTTAGCTTGGAAATAATTTCCTGAAATGTTGCATTGTTGAGACCTTTAGTTATCACATCTGCAAGTTGACCTTTGGTTAATATATATGGTGTACAAATCTACCCACTATCTAGTTTCTCCTTTATGAAGTGCTGGTTTACTTTAATGTTTTTTGTTTTGTCATGTTGCACAAGATTGTGTGCAATGCTTATTACAGACTTGTTATCATAGTAGAGTCTCATTGGTCTATCCTACTTGATCTTTAGGTCTTCTAGGATAATCTTTAATCATAGTAGTTCACAAATTCCTTGAGCCATTGTTTTGAACTTTGCTTCAACACTTGATCTTGCCACGACATTCTGTTTTTTACTCCTCTAAGTCATAAGATTACCACCTAGGAAAGAGCAATAGCTTGAGGTGGATCTTCTATCAGTTACTGAACCTGCATAATCTGCATCTGTATATGCCTTTAGAACCAGCCTAGAATTTCTTTTAAACAAGATATACCTCTCCCAGGATTGGCCTTTAGATAGTGTAATGTACAGTAGATAGCTTGTAGGTACACTTCTTTAGGCCTATGCATAAATTGACTTATCACACTCATAGCATATATAGTATGTCAGATTAAGTATGTGAGAGATAAATGAGTCTTCCAACTAATCTCTAGTACACCTTTCTAGCTATAGTGGCATTTTCATTAGCTTCTCCAAGTTTGTGATTAGGATTATAGGGGTATTTGCAGGTTTAAATGCGAGCTTTCCGGTTTCCTTCAAAAGATCCATCATATATTTTTGTTGTGAGATGAAAATATCATACCGTGAGTGAGCTACTTCAATTCCTAGGAATTACTTAAATCTCCCTAGCTCTTTTATCTTAAATTCTCTAGCCAAATATTGTTTTACAGATTTTCTCTCTTTTTCATCATCTTCGGTTCCAATCATATTATCAATATACACTAATAAATAGTGTGTGAGCTCCTTGACTCTATTTATATTCCATTGCTAGTTCACTTTGACAAATCTCTCGAACCAAGCCCTGGTAGACTATTTAAGGCCATATAATGCCTTTTTCAGCTTGCATATTTTGTTTGCTTCTAAATGACCTCCGTGGAACCTTCATATATATTTCTTCTTCCAAATAACCATGTAGAAAAACATTCTTTACATCAAATTGTTGAAGCTACCAATTGTAATTTGCATCCAAGGATAACAAAATCCTAATATATTCATCTTGGCAATTGGAGCAAAAGTTTCTTGATAATCTACTCCATAAGTTTGAGTGTAGCCTTTAGTCACTAACCTAGCTTTATACCTTTCAACAGTACTATTTGCCTTGTATTTTACAATGAAAACCCATTTACACTCAATTGGATTTTTTTCTTTTAGGCAACTTTACCAATTCTCATGTCTTATTTTTCTCTAAGGTCTCCATTTTTATTTTCATGGCTTGCTTCCATTTTTCACTAGATAATGCCTCGGATAATGTAGTTGTAATAAAGCTAGTGTTTAGGCTCACAAGAAAATTTGTGGGATGGTGAGAATTTTTTAAATGACATAAAATTAGAGCTTAGGTATAATGATGTTTAGTACATTCTCTGATTTCTTTCCTAATAGCAATAAGCAAATCATAATCACTAGTTATAGTTTTAGAGATTTATGCTCGTTTTGAGAATAGAATCAGAGATTGTAGTTACCTCATTTCCAGAGTTAGGATAAGGTTCTTGGACTTGCATCGGTTCAGAGCTAGAACTTTCCTTCTTGAGTACACCTTTAATTCCTTCATAGAATCAAGAATAATTTTATCTTTTGTCACATCTTTTGTGTTTCGAACAGGTTCAAACTCAAATTTAGTGTTTGACTTAGACTTAGAAGAAATAGGTTTAGACTCAAAAAAATTAATGGGTGAAAATGTTGAAGAGGATGAGAAGTCAAGCAAAAAGAAGTCTTTATTTTTATTTTCGTGAATGAAGTCTCCCCCTTAAGATAAGGTTGAGTAAAAAATAATTTATTTTCTCCAAAAGTGATAGATGCGGACACAAATTTTTTGATAGGCAGATGATAGCACTTATACCCTTTCTGAGTTGATGAATACCCCACAAAAATATGTTTAACTGCTTTAGGATCCAACTTCCCCCTATTATGAACAAATCATGTACAACCAAATATCCTAGGTGTGAGGTTGTTTGTAGTATTAAAGTTTGGATAGAATTGTGAGAGTAGTTCCATAGGAGTTTTAAATTCCAAAACCTTTGAAAGTAATCTATTTATAATGTGTGTGGTAGTGACAACAATTTCCTCCTAGCAAGATTTGATATGTTTGCTTGAAAAAGTAAAGCTCGGTTGTGGCTAGTAAATGGTTGTTTTTCTTCTCTGCCATTTCATTTTGCCGTTGAGTATTAACACAATATTTGCTTATGAGAGTAGGAAGCTGAACGGAGTCGAGACTCATGGATAATTCTCTCTTTTTGGAAATAGGTAGATAGGCTCTGGTTGAAATAGTCTTTTGCATTATCAGGCCTAAATCTCTTGATTTCACTCAAATTGATTTTGGATCATGTTTTGGAAGCTTGAAAACACATTATTCACATCTGATTTGGATTTAAGTAAAAATATCCAAGAGACCTTAGTACAATCATCTATGAAAGAAACAAACCACCTAGCATCAGAAATACTAGGAATTGTAGAGGAACCCCATATGTCATTATGAATCAAGTAAAAAAGAGTAGAACTTCTTTTGTTACTAATTGGAAAAGACACACGTCTGTGTTTTGCAAGTGTAGAAACATTACAATAAAAATTTTAAACATTTAATTTTTGAACAAAGAAGGAAACATGTGTTTCAAAGTTTCAAAAGAAGGATGTCCAAGACGAAAATTATAAAGCTAGATTTTGTCTTTATTGGGAGATTTTTCAGAAAGAAATGACAAAAGGTAAATTATTTTTGATATTACTTATGTTGTTTGATGTCCCAAGATAGTATAGTTCATCTTTTTCCTTAGCAAGTCCAATCATTTTTCCTGAACTTTGGTCCTGAAATTCACAATAGGAGGGATAAAAAGTCACTTTGCAATTCATGTTTCTAGTAAGTTTTTGAATAGATATCATATTAGTAGACAATTGAGAAACATGAAGAACATTTTTTAAGAACAAATGAGGGATTAATTTGAATATATCCTAATTTTGCCACTATAGTAAGTGAATGATTTGCAACAACAATTTTCTTATTATTAGACGCAGGGTATATGTACTAAACTTTTGTGAGGAATATGTCATGTGGTCTGTGGCTCTTGAGTCAATGACCCAAGAACTCATAATAGGCTTAACCAAGACATTTAATCCTTGAGAATTAGAGACTTTACCTGAACTTAAGCCTTTACTCAAGGAACATACCCTTGTAGGCTTTTCAAGGGTTTTCAGTGGGCTTCTCAGCTTCTCAATCTTTTCTTTGTCCAGCTTTCCTTGTTTTCGAGACATCTGTAGTACTTCAATAGTTTTACCTGTTGACACTTTCCCAAATCAAGTGATAGTGATAGCAAATTTTGTTATTTTAACATTGTTATCTTTTTTTGAATTGAAATAAGTCTTAAGATATTATCAAAAATGACTCTTATTAGTGAAGGCTAAAGAAGGGAAAAATAAAATGGCTATTAAGGCCTAAAATAGAAGTCAATAATGAATGTTGAAAATTTTGCTTCTCAAGAAGAGCATAAAGCATGTGGAGAAACTAAAAAATAAAATTATGTAAAAAACTAAGAGTAAAATTGAATGTATATTGAAAAACTGCTCTTTAGAATTATATAAGCACCTTAGGTTTATATACAACTAACTAGTGGTAAACTAGGAACGTAAATCTTCCTAAAACTAATCCTATAATTGAAGGATTGTCTATCCTAATTTTCTGTCCTTAATTCTAGGGATAAAAATACTTAATTGTAGGGATGCTAGGGATATAAATACTTAATTTTAGAGATACAAATATAAATATATAGATTACAAGATTACAACCAGCTGTACAATAAGTGTTTTCCCACATTGTTATATCACTCTTATAGACAGCATGAAATTTATTTGTTGTACAGAAAATGGTGTCTTATAGACGGCATGCAACAAGCCTCATGGTTATCCTAGGCCAAGGGTCATTTCTTTGGCCATTGGTACTTGAATAATCCTACATTCTGATCATTTCATTTTTCTGTATGGAGTGGGGTGGTACTTGGTAGGGAGGTTGGAGGACAAGGACAGTGGTATTAAGTGAACAAATAAATAATATGATCCATTTATTTAACTTTGTAGAAAATAAAAGTCTTTTTTATGCTTATTCCATGTTAGCCGAGTCATTGTAACTGACACCAGAAAATTATGAGAGCAAATAAAGTTTCATATGTGTTGACAAAAGGCTTGCCTGGCATGAATGTACAGGTGTTGCTTGGAAGATCTGATGTTTCTGGATGGGGAGCTTTCTTGAAGGTAATATGGGGCTTTTCAACTTGATGTTGCCCTTAAATCTTGTGTTTTTTCTGTTTCTACTTACTACCATTTAATTTTTGGCCATCCCTTCAGAATAGTGTTGGCAAGCATGAATACCTTGGTGAGTACACTGGGGAGCTGATTTCACATCGGGAAGCAGATAAGCGTGGAAAGATATATGACCGTGAAAATTCTTCATTTCTCTTCAATCTGAATGATCAGGCATGGTCTTTTATTTTATTTTTTTTAGATGTGACCCCTTTTATCTTTCTATATTCTTAGCAAATGATATTTCCTTGGTTCTGTCATTTTCAGTTTGTTCTTGATGCTTACCGAAAGGGTGACAAATTGAAGTTTGCCAACCATTCTCCTGATCCTAATTGCTATGCAAAGGTACACTTTAGACTGTCTTTGCATGCAGGAAAGACCTCGTTGCCTTGGCTCTTTTCATATTGTTTGTCTAGAACGTCTGGAGTTCTGTTTAGGTGTTTTTGCCATATCTTTATTCATGCAGTAGCTGAAGTGCTGAACCATTGTCTTGCAGGTCATTATGGTGGCAGGGGATCATCGGGTGGGTATATTTGCCAAAGAACGAATTAATGCAGGGGAGGAACTTTTCTATGACTATCGTTACGAGCCCGACAGAGCTCCTGCTTGGGCTAGAAAGCCTGAGGCCTCTGGGTCCAAAAAAGAGGATGGGGCTCCTTCAAGTGGACGAGCAAAGAAGCTTGCTTAACCTGACCATTTATTTACATCCTGAATTCAATTCTTTTGCCATTCTTTCACAGGTAGAAGGATCATTCTCATTGATAGATGATAGGAAAGGTGAATGTTCTCTCATTTTGTTGGGGATGCCATTGTCATCTCCATTAATAACTTATTTGATTTTTGCCTTTCAATTCAAGTTTATTCCAGACTGGACTGTGTTCACTTAACCTGGAAAAGAGCCACCACTTACCATCTTCCATGTGACCTGACTTAACATGACATCAAACTGTTCTTGTAAAAGGCAAATGCAAAGATACAATCATGCTTGCCTCCTTTTTGTTATGGGAGGTTAATGTTGCTGGAAGAAATCGTGCTACAAATTTTAGGTATAGTTTCTGGTTAACAGTAGTCAGTAGTTTGCATTATTGCCTATTTTCATTTTTATTATTCTGGTGGTAAATTATTCCGGGTAAAATTTCTCCGGGGAAGGTGGATGGATGATTCATTCTAGTTCTAATAAAAAAAAAAAGTACCACAAATATCCAACGTCGCCTGCCCATCTGTCACAAACCTATTTTTATTTTTTTTTGTTTAGGTCGGGGATTTTTACTCTTTTTGGGGCTGTGTGCAGGTTTCGAGGAAAGTGCATATGGGGTGATATTTATTATTTTACAAAGACATTTGTCAAGTTTTAAGTGAGATTTATTCGGTACCGATCATACACGTAAGTGTCTCATTCGTGGTATATTCTTTACCTTTCAGCTTGCTAATCCAGATTAGATGATTAACCCCTACCAACTAAAGCACAGCTATTTCAAGTAGGCGTTTAAAATTGTTACTTGCTTCCTTGAACACTTGCTACATATTGTTTTACCAAAAAAAAAGAAAGGCCTCAGTGTAACAGCAGCCGAAGTCCAAACTAATCGTCTACATCTTCAACATCTGGCACCCCAAACGAAACAAAGCACCATATATTTCAAACAATGCTCAGAAAGTGCACTTCCCTCAGCAGAGGCAGCCTGCCCCACCACGTGAGGGACACTGCCAGTATAAGCCTCCACAGTGGGGCAATGCCCAATTTTAAAGCGGAAAATGTAATAATTTGGCAAGTTAAACTTTTTTGATAACGACAAGACAGTCCAAATCAACTAATCTGTAACCTATTTATTCCTGAACGACATCGTGTTTGCAAAGTAAAAAGCTTGACAAAAAAGTGAAGAAATCACCTCAAAATAAGAGAAAAATTAAAGGTATAATAAAGCCCGCGTTAAGCATCCAAAAACCTTTGTCATTTGTCACCGTCACATCCAGAGTAAAATGTTCTCTTTAGTCTTTAGTTTTTATTTATGGTAGCTGTCGATGATTTCTTAGGCTTCTCTCTCTATCTCTCTCTCTTCTGCTCATGTTTTTTTGCTTCCTCGGGTTCTGCATAAGCAGAAGCGAAATACAAATAATGTTGGCCCGTTTCACGGACCACCGTAGCTTATGCAGAGCCACTGCAATTGGGTACTTGTTTCTGTTACTCTTCTCTTTCTTCATCAGCATTTCTACTTCTTGTTCTAATGGAAACTGCCAGGTTCCTTTCTTCTTCTTCTCTTTTAACTTTCTCTTTCTCTTTGTTTATGATCTGTAGTACAGTTTAAACTGAAATTTTAGAGAATTTTGCAGATTCTGGATTCATGTTCACTGGCTACAGATTGTGGTCCAGGTCTTTATTGTGGAAACTGCCCTGCTTTGGGCAAGACTCAACCTTACTGTATCAGAGGCCAAGCTACCATACCCACTTCTGTTGTAAGCTTCTTTTTGCATCTTAATCATGAGTATTTGTTTTTTTTTTCAGGTAAAATAGTGTGAATTTGCTTCCTTTTTGGCAAAGAAAGCTCCTTTGTTTCTTTTTTTTTTCTTTCAATATTTTGGTGATGGATTTGAGCAATTCAGTTCTTTTTCTTTTCTTTTTTCTTCCCCTTCATATTATTATGTGATTTTAAGCAACTTAGTGACGGAAATTAGTGTTTTGGGTGTCAATTGTGGGTTGCAGATTGGTGGATTGCCTTTCAACAAGTATTCATGGTTGGTGACCCACAATTCATTCAGCATAGTGGATGCACCACCTTTGCCAGGTGTTCAAAGATTGACATTTTACAATCAAGAAGACACTGTTACTAATCAGTTGATGGTGTGTACTTGTATTCTTTTGCTTCAACTTTAAATGACCTTGTTAGTTGTTGAGAATCTAAAGTAAACTATAAGATAAGGAATTGTGACATGCCCTGCTAAATTACCTCTCTAGAGTAATTGATAGATAGTGTAAAAGTTTCTCTTTGTCGTTCTTTTTATCTGTTTGGTGCTAACAAGCAGAGAAAATGTGAAATTCGAATACGTGTCATTTCTTCCCTTTACTTGGTTTCTTTGTAGCCATCCGAAGTATGAGATAATTTTTGGTCAATTCTTTTCTTACTTCTTAGAGAAACAAATAAAACAATAAATATCTTCTTTTTTCAACTAATTTTCCTTGCGTTTTGGTCATTGTTTAGAACGGAGTGAGGGGGCTGATGTTGGACATGTACGATTTTGAAGGTGATATTTGGCTCTGCCATTCATTCCGGGGGCAATGTTTCAACTTCACTGCCTTTGTAATATATCTTTCCATCTTACAAATTTAGCAGTTATCTTGCATGTTCTTTTATTTTTATTTTTATTTTCAAGTTTTATGAGATGATTTGCAATGTTCTCATTGGATCTTATTCAGCAACCTGCAATTAACACCTTGAGGGAAGTGGAAGCATTCTTGAGTCAGAATCCAACGGAGATTGTAACCATTATAATTGAGGATTATGTGCATACACCAAAAGGATTGACTAAGCTTTTCACAAATGCTGGTTTGGACAAGTATTGGTTTCCTGTGTCCAAGATGCCAAAAAAGGGTGATGATTGGCCTACTGTGAATGAAATGGTGCAAGCAAATCACAGGCTTTTGGTTTTTACTTCAGTTGCTTCGAAGGAAGCAGAGGAAGGAATAGCTTATCAATGGAAGTATATGTTGGAAAATGAAGGTAACATGTATGATACTTTTTTTTTTTTTTTGGGTTCATGTTGTTTACTTGCTATCTAGTAACACCTTCATGATGTTTTGGGTTTCAGCTGGAGATCCAGGGGTAAAGGCAGGCTCATGTCCAAACAGAAAAGAATCACGGCCACTTAATTCAAAAAGTGCCTCCCTTTTCCTTATGAATTACTTTCCAACTTACCCAGTTGAAGATGAAGCTTGCAAAGAGCATTCAACACAACTTGCCGACATGATTGGCACCTGCTACAAAGCAGCGGGGAATATGATGCCAAACTTTTTGGCAGTCAACTTTTACATGGTATTCAGTTGTAACTTATATCTATAAATTTGTTCTTAAATATGAAAAGCACTAACACAGGATAAATCATGCAGAGGAGTGATGGAGGAGGTGTTTTTTATGATCTGGATAGCATGAATGGCCAGAGATTATGTGGATGTAGTACTATTGCAGCCTGCCAGGTTTGTCCAAATTCAAAATTACTTGTCTGGAAAGCATTGGCCACTACAGTTCCAATTTACAGTGAAGTCATTTGAGGGCTTATTTTGCAACAAGCCCTTGTTCCATTGACACTTACTAACATTATGTATAGCTGGCATTGTACAGCCTAAAGCATCCACAATTTCAAAAGTTTTTTTTTACTCCAAATGTTCATCAATGGTTATCAGTTATCACTTATCAAAGTCTGAGACATATATCTCTGCAACTTTTCTCAATGTATGATTGTTATTTATTTTTAAGCTGAATTTTGGAGGTGCTTGATTTGGAGTGCTGTTCCAGATTAGAATTAGCTATAGTTCACTCAATTTCACACATATATATGCTTGATTTTGTCTTATTTTGCATTTAGATTAGCCAACTTTTCAAAACTATTTTCGAAGCATAGAAACTTGCCTTGTGCTTTTTGCCCTTTTTCATGTGAGGGAATCTAGTTCGATGCAAAGAGGAATTTTGTAGAATTTGGTCAAGATTTATATCTTTTGATAAATTTATTGTTGAATGAAACTAAAAAGTCTTCATGCCTGCAGAACATCAGTAAACTTGATTTTGTAATCTCTTTCCCCCTTTGACAGCTTTTTTTATGTTGTTCCTTAGCAATTTGGACAGTGTAATGGGATTGCTTTGGAAACCTAGTATTTCATCGAGATGGGTCTAGTTCTTGTGATGACATTTTTTGAAATCTCTGTTTTGTTCTTTTGCAGGCTGGAGCACCCTTCGGATCTTGCAAGAATATTTCTATACCTACTCCAAGTCCGGTGACCAATACTGGTGGAAGCTTTTCTGGATCTGTTCAGTTCTCAAGATCTGCTTCAACGGTCTATCATCCTAATCACTTGATTGTTGGGTTGCTTTCTTTTCCATGGATAATGCTTTTATTTTGACTAGAATAGATAATTTTCAGGATAGCATCTACACTTTTAGGGGGGCTTATAAAATGTCTGTACGTAAATTTTGGAGTCGAGGATTAGTATACTGCATCCCTGCCTTATTGGGTGAAGGTCAAGGAATGCTTGTCATGGTTATAGACTTTGATTACAATTAAAAATCTCTTTAGATTCTTCTGTTAAGGCAAAATCAAATGGTTGTACTGGAAGCTGAGTTAGATACAAACCAAGAGAGAACTGGAATGTACTGAGTACAGTTCAGGTATGCAATTTGCTTCACTATAGTATGATTCATATGGTTAGGTGCATGATTAAGTTCCACTATGTTATTTGTCTGATAAATTGCTATCCATTAGATATGAGCTTTATTGTACCTTATCAAGTTTCCTTTATCAATTAATTTAGAGATCCATATTACCATAAGCTTTTATTAATCACTTTTCGTACCATAATCTTTTCTTGTCATGAAAGAACCAATAACAGACAGTGTAAAAATTATGGCAACAAAGTAAAGAACCTCCTCCAGGTATTAGGATTACTCATAACTTCTGACTGTTGCTATTGAGCTTGATAACTGTAGCACAACTGATGCCCGCAATTCTTTGTTGCATAGAGACGAATGTTGCACTTAGAAATGGCATTAATAAGACCCTGGCACTAGTTTCACTTTATATATGCTTTGACTTCGATATTATTCTTACTAAAATCTTTTCTTGTCATGAAAGAACCAATAACAGACAGTGTAAAAATTATGGCAACAAAGTAAAGAACCTCCTCCAGGTATTAGGATTACTCTTAACTTCCGACTGTTCTGCTGTTGAACTTGATAACTGTAGCACAACTGCTGCCAGCAATTCTTTGTTGCATAGAGACGAATGTTGCTCTTAGAAATGGCATTAATAAGACCCTGGCACTAGTTTCATATTAATATATGCTTTGACTTCGATATTACTCCTAAAATACTTGAACATCGTAGGAAATATATGCTTCTATTTTAGGCAGTGATGTTAGGCTTAGGTGCTTAGCAGATCTTTCCGCACCTTCTTTTTTTTTTTTTTTCTTTTTTGTGGTTTCAGCAGCTCTTCCCAAACATGCTTCTCCTGCCCCTTCGTTTAAATTGGGTACCCTGGCTCATACAGACATCATCTCGGACCCACAAGGCTTCCACCGAAAAAGAGAAAGGTTTTGAAAGATTTAATTCAATTGATTCATGAAATTATTTTTAAGAAGTAATATTTAATATCTGAGATTAAAATTTAACATTGTAACCTTTTTCTTCAATCTTAGGTTACACTTCTTATATATATATAAAGAGAAATGTGTTGATGTCAGAACCTCCTTTCCGTCTTGTATTCGTAAAAAAGAGGGTCTCAAGTCCCAACGTTCTCTGTTTACCTCTGTCAAAGCAACAATTAGCTTCTTTCTTTCTTTCTTTCAATCCAGCTATACTTGGCGGCTCATATTGTAATGAGTGGTTTATTCAGGTTTAACCCTTAGTTGATTTAGTTCAACTTTATTTCGTGGTATTATCATTCGATGAATTATTTCGATGTCTCTCTGATTTCAGGTTCTGTTGGGAAGTAGTTTTAAGTAGGAGTCTGAATTTGTGTCACAACCTGCGTGTTAAGTGCTTCTGTTATGATTAGTCCTAGTGTTATGGTTTCAGAGAAGAATCATGAATCATGAATTTCACATAGGCTGTATATTAGAATTGGTCATGAAACAAAAAGGTTCACATCACCTTTAACATGTAAAGTACATTTTGTGTGATAAAATCGTGAGATCAGAGTGGGACAAAGTAGATAATACTTTATAAGAATGTGAACCGTAACAGTTAGGTTGATCTGAAACGTTGGATGAGTTTATGAATTTCGAGTCTTAGAGTTGCGTGAGCCTGAAAATTGAATCTCGATTTGTGACAAGTGATATCAAAACTAGCTTTAAGGGTATTAGTGATGTGTTACCGGTGAATCATTGTTGAAGTGAAAGAAGATGTCACGATTATAGAGAGGAGTCATAAATTTCGGCCCGGAACACTAGTCCTTGTATTCTAACATTATACAGCTTTTTTAGCTAGCTTAACACTTGCACATTCAACATTCAGCCCATTGTTGTCTCGTGCTTTTCATGTATGAAGATTGTCTATTTACCAAGGACTTTGAAGGTTTCTTGTTTCAAAAGATTAAACATGGAATGGGAGGGAGTGGTCGAGGAATGAATGACAGCAAAATAAAAAATTCAAATTCTGGGTTCTAATGGACTTCATTTTCCTGTAATAATTTATATCAAGCTTCAAATCCTTTTGTCAAAGTCAGAAGCAGATATTCCCCTTCAGAAATAATGTCTTACGTGAATAAAACCAATTTGCAGTTGCCAAAACGGACCTAGCCGTGCCATCCGTCAAATTTTGAACACACCGTAGAATACTTTAGCCAAAAAACTTGATTAAATAATGCTCTAGTTTTAGAGAAAATTGGAATCCTACCAGAAACCCAAAGAAGATTTTGAGCAGGATGAAATCATTTTCTGTCATCTCCGAAAAAACCACTTTGAATTTGCACAAAATGATTCAGCAGCAGATGTTTCATACTGTTAATACTTTAAAGACTTTGAATGCAACTTTCAATTTATTGAACCAATCAATTCATACAATAATAATTGGAATTCCCAGAAGAATGTGATATGTACAAGCAGCGTTTGGAAATGCAATCACAAGAATGAGCACCTTATACAACAGGTAACACTGTAACAGCTCCAACATTTAATGGCAAACCTTGTGGTTTTATTTGAAGAGCTGGACGGATGGTAAGCAAACCGATGAAACACTCCAAGGGAACTCTAATCCCCCATACATTGATCGACTCTAGTTTACGACATTTACTTACTAGAACAAACAACCCAGTTTCTGTAACATGACGGCAACTCCATAGGACAATGCTCTGAGATTAGATGGTGATAACCAAAATTTAGTATCTCCATGATTTTTCTGAAGAATAAACTTTCTGGAAAATGCATAATCGATGTTAAACTCACCTTTAAACGTGGACAGCTATTGGCAATGGCAGACAAGGATTCATCCGTGATAAATGTACCACCAACATTCAGGTGTTGCAAGGAATTGGCTCTTGTTATCTGTTCAGAAAATCAATTGAGAACCAGCGAAAGGAAAAAAAGAAAATCAAGTCCATTGAGAAAATGCAAAAATACATTCAAGTTGAAGAAATTCATTGATTGATGTGGCAAAAATGGCATCACATACCAATTGAACAACACCTTTGTCAGTGATCCCTGTGATACCCCAAAGGGAAATAGATGTCAAGTTGCTAACACACTTTGCCAATGAGATTTGATACAGTCCATTATCAGTTATTTGGCAACCCCAACGATTCCTTGAACTGTGATCATAATAAGAATTAGAATATGAAAATGAAGATCAGGCCTATCAACATCAAGATTGAGATTTCTGATTAAAAAATTTTCTCATTCAGCTGCACATGGAAGATTAGCTATCACCAATTTGATGCATTACTGTGACACTTGCGTGTGTGTCAGAAACTGGAATTCACTGCTTAACTTCTGCCTCTTTAAGAAAAACCAATTTGCAGTATAAAAACTACATGAAATAATTTCAGCCATTGAAACTTGACAAGAGGCTTATCTTTCTTTCCCGCCTAATTGATGAATGACAAATGGTTGAATTTATACCTTTCTTTATTAGGTTAAGTTTATAAAGGAACTAATTCTCCATTAGAATCAATCAACCATCAGTGTCATGCAATGGGTCGAATGCTAATTGGGAAACTTCCAAAATAAAGACCAACGATTTCCAGCAAGTTCTAGTCAGTCCACACAATGAATTTCAGGTTAATGGACACCATAGCAACATAGCCACAATTCAATCCTTTAGCTCTGACCAACAAAACCTCAAATATTGCAACCAATCACTCTCAAACAGACATATCTCTTCCATATTGTAAAGCCAAGTCAAAGAGAAGGCTCTGTCACGCTCAAAATTTCCCCCTCATGAACTTGCTTCATATACAATTCAAACAGAAAAAGAAAAACAAATAAAATCAACAAAAAAAATGAAAAGAGAAATAGAAGAAGAAGAAATGAGTACATGTCAAGTTCTTTGAGGCTGTAAGCATGGCGCACGAGACGAGCAGTGGAATCGTCATCCATCTTACAACCAGCAAAACTCAGAGTCTGTCTTCTAGCCAGAGCCTGTTTCACCCCTTGTTTCCAGTTCCTACAAACCCCACTTGCCCTACATACATAACATAATCCACCATCCATCCCCACAACAATTACTACTATTTGAAGCTGATCATCAACACATATTTAATAAATCAAGAAAAAAAAAAACTTACTGGGCTAAATCGGTGAAAGAAGTGATCATCACCAATATATGAGCCAACAAGTCTGTGGGCAACCTATCAATCTCTGCCTCTTCCTCCATACTATTCAAAGACAGAGAGGAACAGAACAGAGTTTTTTTTTTCTTTGGTGGTTTTGGAGAGGAAAGGTCGGTTGAAGTTACCGGTACTTTTATACCAACATAACCCAAAAAAAATGTGGTCATTGTTTTGTCATAATTTCATGAATCTATTATAAAATTAAGTAATGGGTAATTAATATTTTAGTAATTAGATTCAGAATCTAGGCTTAAATTTGGATTCAAGTTTTAATTTTTTAAAGATTGAGTAAAAATAATCTCATTATTTCGGTTCTTTCCTTAGCGGTCATTAACGTTTCTGTACTTTTCGTGTGTTGCATGTCTTTTTAATTTCCACGTCGCATGGGCTGTCTCATCCGTTTCTTGTCTAGTCGGTTTTTTATTTTCCCTATTCTAAGATTTTTAATTTAGGTTTTTTTTTAGTTTATTTCTTATAGTACGGAATGGTAAATCTGGCATCCATTGCTGCCCTGCTTCTGTTATGGATCATTATCATTGTCAATCGTCCTTCATTTTCTCTTTAATGCTGACGTTTTTCTTCTTGAATAGGGCCATGATATCACCATCTATATCTCAATTACGAAATTGATAAAGGTATATGATTCACACTATCATTTTGTTTTTCTTTCAAATCTTAATCAAACAAGTAAATATAAAATTTAAGTGAAATTTCCTAAGTTTGTAATTTTATAATTTTTTAAAAAAATGAATCATGTTCTATGTTAAAATTATTCAACATGGTAAAATTAGAATTAGCGTTTCAAACTAAGATTATGTTGAGTTGTCAATTTCATTACGTACAAGTAACAACTTCCATTTTTTAAAAAATTAAAAAGAAACTTTCAAAAATCAATGGCTAATCTTGAGAATTTTGATAGAGGCACATCCATTGTGAAATGACTATCAGGAATCAGCCCATCTCTTAAAGACCGAACCCTATACATTCTTACACCGTGTTTGCATTATCAGTTATCAGGAATCAGCCCAGCCCATAAAAGCCAATGAACAAACATTGATGTTAATTTCTGCATCTCCATTGGAGAGATTTTTTTTCTTTTTTTTTGTATTTGTATTTGAGATTACTAGAAATTGAATTTTGATTATCAGAACTAAGAATGCAGCACTCTAACCATAATTATACTGTTGACATTGGAGGGAATACTTTGGGAGCAAATGAAAGCATTAAAAAGGAAAATACTTGACTTCTATATGGAATCTAGAGACGATGTGAGATTGAATTTGAATGAAACATGGATTAATTGTGAGATTTGAATCCATGGTGTTGGTGGACAATTTGAAGCTGAATTCTGATCTATGATCTACTTTTAACTTCATAAGAGAGAAGAAAAATGGGGAAAAAGTAAGAGAGATTCAAGTGATTTAAAATGAAATTCAATTTGAAATTAAACATTTTTCTGCTATAAAGGCAAGGCTTAAGATATTTCATGGATCATTAATAATAATCCTGGATTAGTTGACTTAGAGCGAGAGGGATTAGTTGACTTAGTTGCTTATAGGTTTATTACATTTATAGTTAACTTGATTAAGAGTACTTAATTCTTGCATATGCTGTGGGTTTATATTGAAAGTCTTCTGGTGAAGAATTCCAGGCAGAAATCTTTTCCGTAAAGCAATTTCTCTCCACACGGAAAACGTAAGTTTGATATTGTCTAGTTTGTGTTTACCAGGTTGGGCTTTTTAATGCAAATGTCAACAGAGCTCCGAAGGTGGAACTGTTTTCCAGCCTGAAAATGACTCTAGTCCTTATGCAAACGAGGATGATTGATATCATGAATTCGGAAATTAAGTAAAACTGTCTATAGGCGTTACTAAGTAAGATTTGTATAAGTAACTTTTATGTTGTAAAAAGAAACGTCAGAACAAGAGCCAAGGACAAGGAGTTCTTAAAGTGAAGCTCAATTAGGTCATACCTTCCTTGACCTGACGATTAACTTAATCCCATCCCACCTTCTGCACTGCCTTATCCTTGGACCTCGCTTGCCACTAAGCTTCAAAATATATCGATCCTAAAACCCCACACATCCAATAATGAATAATATTGTCATAATATAACATAATAAATGGATTTTTTCTTCAGGAATGTATGGAAATTGGAATCATCTACATATCAAAATCAAATTACAATTAAATCAAAAAATTAATTCAATGAATTCATATAATTATTTTTAAAAAATAACATTCAATAAATATAAAATTCAAATCTAAATAACCCATTCTCTTATATTAAATTATTCGTTGTATAAATAAAAAAAGAAAAACAATTGGGAGCTTTTAAAATGGCAAAGATCATGTTAAATGTAAATTGAACTAAAAAAATTAACATTGTCCTTTAGGCTTTAAGCTTTATTAACTGATCATTCTTCTTTGTCATGTAATAATATTAATTACAGGCGTTTTTACAGTTTGATTATGTATAGCTTTCTCTTTTGTTTGTTTCTACCGTACTCTTCCATTTTGAAGCTCATGATCATATCATATACCCCAAATTTTATGTCCCACCATTGCAGTGGTTGAAAGGATTGAAAGGCTAACAAACTAGAGCAAATATTACAAGCCTTTGATATCACAATATTACATTTTGAAACCAAAGTAGCAAAAGAGAGATGATGAAACATTGAAGAAGTGTTCTTTTTTTTTTTTTTTTTCCTTTTTGGAATAAGTAGGAAAATAGAACAGAATTTGGGTTTTTTTTTTTTTTTTATTACACATGACATATTGATGACTCAAAAAATCCTTGTGTCAAAGCCCCAAACATTTTATATTTTCTTCCTCAAAGCCTTTCAGAGAATTAATGCAAAGGCAAGGAACAAAATTGGTGACATGAATGCTGTTGATGGGTAAGAACAGTTTATTCCTTGGTTAACAAAACTTTAGATGAGAAATCTACGTTTTTCACATTCGTCTTTCCTAACTAATTAACTAATAAATTTGTGGCTAAAAGCTAAAAAAAGTCTTTGAATTATAATTTAATAATCATTTAAATTTATAATATTTTATTACAATCAATCAAATTCTTAATTTTTTATTTCAACTCAATTAAATTCTTAATTGGATGAAATTTAATCATGTGAAAAAATTGAATCAAGTAATTTCCGAATTACAGTCAATTAAACTCTCAAAAGAATTTTAGAGAGAAAATTGAAGAAAAAAAAGAAAAAAAGAAAAAAATTATTTATTTATTTTTCACTTATATTAATTGCATAACATGATGAACTTTCATCTATTTTATTGATGTCACTTAAAATTTTATCTTAATTAAAAAAAATTAATAATGTTAACTTTTTCATTCAAATAAAGTTTTAATTAAATGTAAATAAATATTATAAGGGTTGATTGATTACAATAAAAAAAACTAAAGATTTGAATGATTTTTTAATTATAGTTGAAGAGTTTTTTATATCCTTTAACCTAAACTTTTTCTCTTAAAGAATCGATAAGCTGTAGCTAGATAAACAGATTAAAATGGTTTTTTTTTTTTGTACTTGAGATTATTAAAAATTAAAAATTAATTATTTTATATAAATATATAAATGCCAAAATTGTTGGCAAAAAAAGAAAATTTCCAATGTGGATGGCCTATTTTATTGGCATATGGATGATCTTGAAAAATCGCCATATGTAATATATTTTATTTTATTTAAATTATTTTTAAAAATTAAATTAATTACATTTATTTTTTTTATTATTTACCTTAAATCTCTCTTAACTAAATGCATATTAAAGCTAATAAAACTTTAATTGCTATCATCATAGGATAATTTTGTGTTCTCTTTTTCCAATTATAACAATCAATTCTTAAATTACATTTGTGTAAAAAAAATTCACTTTCTAATTTTGAAATCTATGACCTATTTTTTTACTTCACTTTTTAAGCTATGTATATATGTTTAATATGTGTATATATATATATATATATATTAATTTTAAAATGATTAACAGATGATCAAATTAATTAAAATTAATTTGAAATATATTAAATAAAATGAATTTTATTACCATTATTACACTAATTTCAAAATCCTTATTTTTTCATTTCTCACAAACAAGTTAAATACATAATATGTTTGATTATTCTAATTGTTAAACATAAATTACTCTTCATTTAAAATACTATTACTGATTTTGATTTGGTTCTTAAATTCATTTTAATTAATTAGACATTCAAAGTTACAAATTATTCCACAATTATTTTCAAGACCCACACTATAAATATGGGTGTTTGGGGATGCTTAAAAAATAACTTGTATTCTTACAATATTATTTTCCCATTATCGTGATATTTTTTCACCATATAATAAACCTAGCTTAGGTTCGCTTTCTTTTTGTTTGTGATATTATACATAGATAGATTAGATGCCCAAATTACTTTATGTTTGGTTTTATATTATTTTGGGTACTTTTTTTTGTGTTAAGATCTTTTAGATTAATTCTTCATCATAGTTGTATAATGATTTATTTTTTGAAAACAAAATCATTTTGAAAAGAAATTTTAAAATTAAGCCAAATTTCTTGAAAATTTAATGTTTTAGATTTCTTTTTAAATTTTGGCTATTGCTAACAATTTTATTATAGTTTAAATTATACATATATTGTATATATCTTTATACTTTTTTTTTTGGTTTTTGTTATGATATCGATTTATATATCAAATTGTCATTATACTTTATCATGAAATAAAAGAGCAAATTTGGTGATAAAATAGAGAAAAGTGATCACTTATCACCCATCCTATAATATGTGTCAAGTATACATTGTATTTTTGTATGAAGTGAATTGATTTATTTCTTTTCTTAGTGATATGATTTTTTTTTGTCATTATGATATTATGTTTATTACTTTGATATTATCACTTTCATGATTTAACTTGAAATGGAGCTAATTACTATATAAGTAAATGAAAATTGATAGAAGTAGCTATTTAGTTTCAATTTTTTGATGCATATAACAAGTATTATAATGTTTACAATAATTGATAGTTATTTTCACCAAATAATTTAAAAAGGTAATTTTTTATTCAACATTTTACTATGCTATTTTTTTTTTTACAAAATTTTTGAGGGTGTGAAATTTTTTTAAAACATTTAGAATAAGTTGAATAGTTATGTGTACAAACAATAATGAATAGATGTGTGTATACCAAT